GTGCTGTTGCTGCCAAGTGACAGCGGCTTCACCAGGGGAGGCAAAAAACTTGGGTGCCTTAGATGAGGGAGCTGTTGACGGAGTGTAAGTCTCTGCGGAGTCCTTGTTCATTCTCTTCCCTTTATTGTTTCCTGCCTCTTCGAACTCTGGTTATGTCCATGGAGCCATCAGCCCTGTGTGTTTCATACCCTTGTCTACGCTGCTTCCCGGTCACTCACGGTGCCATAATGTTCTGCATATGTTTCATAGCTTGAAACATACAAACTGAGGAATAAAATGTGTATGATATAAACTCAGAATACATGTTAGATTCTCCAGTCTTGTCTCTGTTATCTGCATTCCAAGTTTAGAAAAAATACCTTGGCATGGTCAGGTGAGACTTAGGGAAATTAAGCTGGCTTTTAAAAATTTCTGGTTTTGTTCTATGGATCCTGGTGGAACCATCTTTCTACTACTTAACCAACGGCAGCACTGTCTGCTGAGTTCTTACTAAGCAGTAAGTTAAAGCAGAAACTGGGAGGAACATGTAAGCTTAGTTTGCTCTTAACTTCTGCTGTTTGGCTTCAGATATTCTTATTTTTGTCTCCTGTAACTAGATTTGTTATGGCCTTGGTTAGCCATAGGTTTAGAAAATAATAATAATGGGGGAAGGGAAAGGATGTATTAATGTATTAAGTGTATGAACTTGAGGTTTTTAAAGCTTACTTTAGATTTTTCTGCTTTGGACAGAGCTAATTGATTAGTATTCAGAGCCCTTCAACTTTATTAGACTAGCTAGAAAAGAAAGCTGTGTTTCCTGAGAAGTGGTCAGGCTTTGAAGCTCATCCTTGTTCCACATAAAGAAGGAATGAGACTGCTGTGGAGAGGGGGGAGAATACAGAAAAATATTCTCTACTAAAATAAAAAGTAGCCTATATCTAAGACATGGGACCTGGGTGGCTGAGTTCCTGCCTGCCACCAGATTGAGATAATTAGGGTGTTCTTAAGAGAACTGAGTTGGAAGTCTTTAAAACCCAGAAGGATCTGATTACTTATGTTGCTTAGAAAATCCTTAAAAGAATCGATGTTTCTTAATGTGTGTTTGCTCAAACTCTTGAGTTCAACCTGTTTAAAATCTGAGCCTTTGTTAGAACATGTGTTTTGGGTTTAAAAAAAAAGCTTCTGTGACCGTGTCTATACGGTTTTTGGGTGGAAGCTGTTCTTCCTTCCTTGTGTCTGAAAGGTCACACTATAGCTGGTAAGACCAGGAGGTGACTGCTGTTGCAGTTACCTTGCAGTAGCTCAATTTTATTTTCTCTAACATAGCAAGAAAAGGAGAGGTGGAAGAATTTCATACATAACTGACCTCAATGGCAACTGAGTTCTAGACGACTTTAAAATCATGCATGTATGTTCCCTAGCTTAGGAACAGGGATAGGAAACTGAATATCCTGAGTTTGAAAGTGAAGGGTCTTAGATTATGTTACACTAGACAGATTCTTTGGTATTTCCAGCACTTCTGAACTTGCTGTAGCAATATTTATTAATATCCAGTTTGTGCTGATTGTCTGGTTGAATAATGATTTTAATACCGCTTAATTTCTCTTAGTGGTACTAGGGACAGGTTCCCAATCATAAAAATATTTTTGTATCATAAGGATCTTTGTCCTTATAGGATGCTATGGGTGTAGCTCATTATTATGTAGCTAGTCCAGGTCTTGGTTCTGTTGCCTAAGCATAGATGTATGCCAGACTTGAGGTCTGTGTAGCTAACCTAACTCAGAGTCAAGATAACTTCAAAATCGTAGTAGTTTTGTGTGTGGGTAGGTTATCAACTGCTGTACTCTAGTTTTGGGTTCAAGTATTTCATTTACCCTCCATGTCACAGAAACCATCACTGAGGAGGATAAAATATGCCTGTGTGATTTTTTTTTTCAGAGTGCTATTGTACCTCTGAAAGTACATTTCTGGCACTGAAGAACCATAAAATTAATTCTTAACATGGATTAATGTCTGAATGTTGGCATACACATGCTAGACACTTTAAATACTGAATGAGTACAATAGGTGGGTATCTCCAGTGAGCTGGTACATATATATTTATATAAATTATGTATATAAACATATATATAATTGCCTAACTAAAGGAATGCATTCATTAGGTTACTGTCCAACTGCCCTGTGAAAGAGCCTATTGCTGTCATTAGCAGCTGATTTCCCTGTATTTCCACTTTTCAGAAGGGTCGAAGTGAAACTTAACTCTTCATTTTTGTCTCTTTCAAGAACAGGTGAAACCTGTATTTCTAGAATAGAAAACACTTCTGTGTGGAAGAACATGATTACATGACTAATACCTGATTCTGTATGGCACTTGAGTTGCACAAATGTATGATTGCCTCTTGTAATGCAGTAATTGGATATGCTGCAGTTCCTAGCTATAGATGCAAAGAAGGTAAAAGTTATCTAATATTTTGAATGTAAGAAGGGCTGTTTATTCCTCATGTCAGTAATATTTCTATTAAATAAAACAACAAAACCAGTTTTTGAGATAACTTATCAGGTTGTTTTGGCAATATATTTGCAAATGAATTGAGGAATGCTGAAGAAAGTATTCTAGCTGAAAACTTTGGGTGACACTAATGTTTTATAACCAGATTAGACTGGTTACCAGAAGGGTTCTTTATTGGTTGTTTTCCAGCTGGATGTCTGCAAACTACTGCTTGAGCTTTTTTAAAAAAGCTCAAAACCTGTTATGTTAAATGAAGAAAAAACTTCATGCTCTTTAATGAAAGAGAGAAAATGAAGTTTAATCTGGATTTTTTTGGCTTTCTAACATATGTGGCAGGACACTTATGTGTTGGATGAGAATAGCTGAAATGTGATTTCTGTACTAATATTTAAGTACTGAGATGTCCTTGTAGAATTTTGTTTTTCAGATGATATAGCGCTAAGATCAACCAGGTTCCATCTTCCTTGAAGAAACTTTAGTGACTGTTTACAAGATGATGCTGCTGGAGAAATTGTCCTGCCACTCATCATGTTTAAATTTTTACAAATGCAATTTAATTATCTGATCAAATTGAATTGCAGAGTTTTATGGCTTTTAGGATGTATATTAAAGGTGACAAAAAACTGCAGGCAAAAGACAATGTCTTATAATTCTGTAATAAACCTGCTGAGAAGCTCACCTACTTCATACAAATGTTCAGAGACCTTAGCAATGTTTGAAGTGTTGTGCAAATGGAAAATCTTGTTTGTTCATTCCTTCTTGCCAGTATTGTTCTTTGTGGTTACTGCTCCTTTATACCTTTGGCAGCTTTTTTAAATTTCAAATGGTGGCAATGGAAACATCTGAATGCTTTTTTTAGTCCCATATGAACTTAAATGTGGTGGTCAGACTAACAGATGGGTGAAATTGTCATCCTGAATAAAAAGGGTATGGTAGGGATTTTGGGGAATGAGCACAGCAGGAGCTGCTTCCTTCTAGAAAGCTGAAGTGTTTACTCATGGTGGGGATTCTTCTGATAAGAAAACTGGTCAATCACAGATTTGGAGCAATATTTCTATTTTGTAGTGTGCTCTAAGCAGATGTATTGAAGTTCAGCCTTGTGTAGTTTCACTTTTGCAGAGGGCAAGTCTGGTTGAAAACTAACTTTAATCCTTTGCTATCTCTGGTATCCTTCTGTGCTGTCTTTCTTGGAATAACCGTATAGAATGCCATCTGTGAATTTTAGAGATGGAAAGGCTAACTGAAGGGCCTGTGTCATGAGAGAGACTGGGTGATTTTCCCCATATGGCCTTGTATACAGGTGTCCACCTACAAATCTGTACTTGATGCGTCTTTCCTACAGGATGAATGTGTGACAGTCTTAATTATACCTGATAAGTAAGAAAAATGTTTCCTGAAGGAAGCAAGTTTATGATCACAGACTTCATGAGTAGTTGAACTGATGGAGGTGAATTACTAAACATGAAAACAAGGGAAGAATAAGTCGTCTTAAAATATTCCTGTAATAATAGTACAATAGTATTGAGTAACTAAAATTATTTTTAAAGGGATCACTTTCTTATATGAAATGTATAGCTTCATTTCAAAATTTGACACCCTCCTTGGGTGTCTTGCTACTGAATTCAGAGTTGCATAGATATTAGTTTTCTCAATTTTATTTCTTCACTGCTAAAAGATGGATGGAAAAATGTGAATTCTTAAAATACCATGAGACAATCCTAATTAGCATCAGTGCTATTCGTGCGTCAGTCATGAGGTTCCAGAGCTCTTACTTATGACTGTGACTTCAAGACTTTCTAACTCTCTTCCATAGCTTACTATGACTATAATGAGGTTCTCTAAGAATGTTATAAGGTATGGCTATTCATCTCACTTTAACAGTCCCAAAATAGGATTCTGTTACAAGTAAAATTATGAGGATTTAGCTACTTGGTGTCCCACATTCAAGCAGAAAACACAACAGGAATATCCAGCCATTCTGTGAAAATGGCCAGTGTGAGTAAGTATACACTGGAGACTGTAGCTGGCTGACACCTGCTTTGAGTTCTGTTTTTTGATGTTCATTTCTGACTCTGCTTAAGTAGAGCAGCTTGTATGGGCCTTTTTTTCCCACGTCTTGCCTGATACACTTGCATCAGAGGATTTTAAAGTTCATTGTGAACTTTTGCCAGTTAATCACCTCAGCTACTCTGATAAATGATTGAAAAGTATTTTTAAATAGCTTTTCACTTTTTGCTGTTACAGGGATCTGTGCCTATTAAAGCCTTTTTTATTGTCCCTTCTTGACAGGCATTATTAAAAAGGGAGGTGGGAAGGATGGCATTTTTTAACAATATCTATTTGAAAGCCATGTCTTGTTAAGTAACTTGCTTTAGTTTAGCTTGCTTTCTCATGTTTACTGTAGTAGTCTTGACTAATTTCCTGTTGACTTATGTAGTAACTTATGACACTGTAATGCACTGTTACAAATGTCTCTGCTTCAGACTGAATCTGGAACCTTAATAATTCAGTAACAGTTTGGGGCATGGCATTTTGCTAGCTTAATACTTGATAAGTGTTTAGTGTCTGCAGGGGAGAACAGATTTGACTAGGTCCTTTGCAGTGTTGCTGTTCTAAGTCAGCACTGTATCAATCTACTGTATACCTGGATTTTAAAGCTAATAAATACCTTTACATGTATCACTTTAAGTATATTTATTTTAACCCTTCCATCACACAATGGTAAGTTACTTTTGCATCTTTATCAAATTAAGTACCTTGCTTGACTATTTTTTTTTCTCTTATAGGTATTGTGGTAAACGGCCTGGTTAACATCAGTATTTCTACAATTGAGAAGCGTTATGAGTTGAACAGTTCCCTCACTGGCTTGATCTCTGCAAGCTATGACATTGCTTTCTGTATATTGTCACTGTTCGTATCTTTCTTTGGCGAAAGAGGGCACAAGCCACGGTGGCTTGCTTTTTCAGCATTTATGCTAGGATTGGGCTCACTTATATTTTCCTTACCACACTTCAGTAGTGGAAAATATCAGTATGGATCTAAACTTGAAGGTAAGGTTATTTTTGTTTTGAAAATGATAAAAATATCTTTGTAGCTAGTTGGTGCAACTCTGTTAATTTGGTACAACATAGTTAATATTTTTCAGTTTTTAAAATGGGATAGTATCTCTAAAACTGAAATCAGATGATTCTGTGAAATCTAAGTTCAAGAGAGGACTCTCTGCATGCTGAATTTTTTTTCCAGAAAAGATCTCAGTGTTGATATCAGCTCTTGTTCATGAGAAATATTTAAGTAAAATGCCTTTTGGCTTGTGTTGATGAATGCAATCAAAGTTCACTTTGAATGAAAAATGGTCTGGTGTTTCCTTGTGAATAAGAATGCAAGTGAGGTCAATGATGTAGAATAAGTGTTCAAGAAAAGTTGCTGGAACTACTGTGGCTTTTTGTTGAAAGGCTGTGTTGCATACTGTAGGTCTCCTGGGTTTGGGACTATTGTCTACTTTAAAGGCATGTTGAGTAATTATCTAACAAGTTTCAGTAAGTTCCTCTAAATTGTTGATTAGTTCAAAGAAACCCACAAGTTTTAAAGAGGAAACAAAAATAATTTACCTCTCTGTCCTCATAAAACAAAGCTTTGCTAAGTGGAACGTGCTTGATGTTGAATACTTGCATCTATTTAGTGGCACACCTCTAACTAATAAGTACACATCCACATATCTTAGAAGTAGAGTGGCTTAATCTTTCAGGATCATGTTAATTGTTGTTGCAATGCTTAAGCAGGTTTATGCCCTCAGTGACTAATCATATTAGAGTGCTCACTAAAAAAACAATCAACAAACAATTAAGCAATCTGAAAGGTTCTAGTTGTTGATGACTTAAATAGTTTTATTTCAAGTACTAATCACATCATATACTTCCATGTGCTGTCCACACAGGGACCATTAGTTAAATAAGCTATAGATCTTCATTTATTGGATGAGGAGCAGAGGCAGAAGTTAATTGAACTTTTAACTGAAGGAGGCCAGAAGAAAAGATCTTCATTGTTTGGAGGCTCTGAGCAGATGCTTCCTTGTTAACCCACAGCAGAGAAGCAGAAGCTTACTTGCTCCTGGCTGTATTACAGTCCCATTACTCTACAATACCAGTTTCAGTATGATGATTCCTGCACCCAACACAGTGAAAATTCTTACATCTTTGGTCTGTAGGTAAAGTCTACACAAAGCCATTCAATCAACAGAACTGATATTCTAATTGGCATGTCGTGTTCTTCCTGTATGGGATTTCTTGCTAGTTGTCTGATCCTCACTTCACAGAAGCAGTGGAAAGAGTTGAGTTTAATAAGCAGCTAGTTACACCCAAAGCTCATTGAAAGTATTTATAATAATTTTGGAGAATTCTAATGTCTCTTTTCCTGGTAAGAGTATGGTTTTGACAGACATCAGGTTACTTGCATTAATGTGCTCATTCATGTGCCCACATATGTAATCAGCGTGTTTTATGGATCTTTGTTATGGTAGCAAAAGGAGATTTCTTCTAATTGGATTATAATACACTTCTACCACAACAACCTGTAGTCAGATTTATGCTGTTCTACATGAACAAGAAAAATAAACAATATATTCCTGGCACAACCAGGTAGGTGGTGCATGAGGTCATATTCTACTCTTTTGAATACCTAGGAAAGGTGCAGGAAAGGTAGTTGTAGAGCTTTCAACTGAAATTTAAACTTTAAGCAGATTGTTTTGGGGAAGGGGTAGGTACATAAACTGTATCTGACTCTAAATGTGATAACATCTCAGCTGACCATAAAGTGTTTGAGTAGAGTTACCAGTCTGGAAGGGAAGCTGAACTGAGTCTAGAGAAAGATCTGATCTGTTTGTTCTGTTTGTATGGAAGCAAGGTGCTGACAGTGTGAGGTTGTTTGGAGGGAGACACGACTACTGCAACTGATATCAAGCAAAACTGATGTTGGGGGGAAGATCTCAAAGAAACTGTTCCCTTTTTATCAATACTTACAGCTTCTAACAGCAGAGACTTAATATATTAGAGCTGTGGTCCACAGACTTTTTGAAATACAGAAGCTGTGGAAAGTTTTAAATTGAACTCATGCTTTCTTTTCTGTGGCACTATAAGCAGACTGAATTCCTGATGTAGTTTTGACTAGTGTAATTCACATACTCGTGCTGTGACTGTGTCGTGAACAGGTTTAAGGATTTAAGCTGGCTGAAAATGAGCACTGTCAAAGTAAAATAATTACAGCATGCCCTTGCTGGTGCAGGGAATCTATGGACTGTGGCAGACTCTGTAGATCTGTGTGCTGTGCAATGGCACCCTTTAACAGTGAAGTCAACCACAGTACATGATCCTGTAGAATATCTGATATAGCTAGCTCTGATGGAGCATCTTACCTATGCATTTAGTTGTATGGTTTAATAGCACTGCACCAAAAAAACTTGCTGCTTATTTGCTTGGGTGAGTAGTCATCTACCAAATTTTTATGTATTTGGAGTGAACTTTTTATTTGGAATAGCAACTTAATTCCACAGTCCTACTTTTTGGTAAAGATCTGCTTGGCACTTTATTCTAAAGTCCACCACCTTATCTGTTTTTGAATGCTTCCTAGTTGGTTCCTTGGTTATCTCTGTTCAGTTGTTAACTGTGTGAATAAATAAGTAAATACAGTGAGAGTTTCACTTGAAGCATGACTTTGAAGTGTAGTTCAAAGCAGTATTTAGTATAGCTGCCAGGACAATCAGTAAACTAGAATACAAAATGCATCTAGGATGACTGTAGGCCTTATCCTGGAGACTAGAACTTACTCTTATGCCTTAAGATGTTCATGTGCTTTTAAGTATATACACGTGGTACCCTACAGAATTATTTATGAGACTATTATGCTCTGTAAAAAGGAATTACTCTTCCTAGTAGAGTACCTGACCAGAGTAGCTAACCAGTAGACTACCAGCTTACAAATAGCTTTAGCCACAGCAAACACTTATGTCTTGTCTGAACTCTCTGAAAGACTTCACACTCAAATGTAGCTTAGATGTAATCACTGTTTGATGCTGTGACTTGTTTAGGTTACCTGGCGTGTTCAGCATCTGAGCTGGCTCTAATATTTGTAGTCTAAACAGGAGCTCCATCTAGTGGGTTCCATGATGAAACCACTCTATATTTGATTTTTCAGAGGTAGTACAGGGGGCTGTATAAACTGCAGCAGGAGTGATGTTATGAGCAATGTACTCTTAATTTAATTGAATATGAAATGTTATTGAAACATTTAAATTTGTACAAGATGACCATCTGAACAAAGGCAAAGTGTAGATCTTCACTTGACACTGTGAGGACAATCAACTATTGGAACAGGATACCCAGAGAGATTATGCAATTTCTATCCTTGGGAGTTTTCAAGATCCAGCTGGGTGAAGCCTTGAGTAATCTGGTCTAAATTCAGTGTTGACACTGCTTGGATTAGGAAGTTGGACTAGATGACCTCCTGATGTCTCTACCAACCTGAATTACTCCAGGAGCTTGTTTTAGTAATATGACTTGTGTGATGTCTTTTTTTATACTGTGTATGTACCTGTGTACATTAGTAACCAGCCTTAGCCATTTGAGTTGAAATGCATGTTGTGTCCTTTGAGGAAAGGAAGAATGACTTGAGTCACTTCTCTGTTCTGGAAGTGGTGTGGCTATGGGGAAGACATTCAGTGTTTGAGAGTTGGTGAGTCTTCTAAGGGCAATAATTGATTCCCCCTTCTTTCTAGAATGTGGTGAGGTCAATTAAACTGTGGCATTTGGGTACTAATGGTGATGTACAAGCATTTTTTTAATAGGGCATGGAGGAGGTAGGAAGGTGTGATGTAAGCCTCTAATTTGACTGTGTTCTGTCTTATGCAAGCAGTCTGACTGCATGTTTTCTATTGACTTTGCTCCCTAAAGAGACTATCTGACTTGTCAGATAACTTACAGTGCTGCTGTTCTCTGCTCCACTTGGTGTGTTTCTCTAATCCATTTAGATGTTCCACTACTACAGAACATCTACCTTCAGAAAATAAGAATTCTTAGTCTTTATTCAGCATGCTCACTGAAGTCTTTCAAAGACAGGGCAGGCAGATCTTTAACTCTAAACGGGAATAGAAACCGAGTTGTTCTTTCTGTCCTGCTCCTCACAGCCCTTTCCTCCCCTCCCCTGCAAAACCCAAATGCCACTGGCTATAATTTTAATGTAGTTAAAGCTACTCTTAATATGTCTTACTTCTAAGTAATGTTATTGCTGAAGCATCGCACAGTTGCTTATGCTTTGGCTAAGATGTTGCATTAGATCTTTGGAAATTCTTTAGCCTTTACATAACTTGAATTCAGGTGGGTATATCAAGATTAAAACATGAATGAAGGTTTGTTATGACTTATTCCATTGGGTGGTATTGCAATAAAAATAGCTTTTCTGCTCTTCAAAATATAAGTCTAACCTTCTCTGAGAAGGGAAAACAGGTTTTTGGAGAAAAGGCCTTAAAAAGGTGGTAAGCCAGCTAAAAACTTTTCCTGAAGCTTGGTTTATCTCAGTTTAGGCTTCATGATCATGTGAAAGCCAGTGCCCTCTCTCCACAGTTGTTAGGACTATGGCAAACAGGCTTGTGAAACTAATCCAGCTTAGATTTAACCTGGGTCACTTTTCCAGTCTGCTTAACTATTCAAAACCATGAGCTGGCACAAGAAAGGTGAGGGGAGGGGGTGTGTGTGACATTAATAGCTGAGGTAGAGAGTAAACTATCATTTGATAGTTCTGTGCGATGCTGTCTTTAACTAATCTCAGTTTCATTGGTACCTTATGTTCTTTGTTTCCAAAATATTTCTTGAAACGGACTATAAGGTGTATATGATATCCCTCTGCAAATGTGTTTATATTGAGGCTTTTAGAGTCTTAGGTGATGTGAATGAAAGGATTATAATTGTATTAAAGCCTTGCAGTGCATGTTGGTGGTTCTCTTCTCTTTGTAGTTAGAGACCTGACTATGTGGTTCTGAAAACAGACTAGTGTGATAGCTTTCTCTCAGTATCAGGATAATTATTTAAGGGCATCTAAATTGAAGAGCTGGAAGACTGATGGAGAGAGGCTATAATCAGTAACATAATGACACAGGTTTTTAGATCATTAGATTGACATGAACAGAAACATGGTGGGGAGAGGTTCTTAAACTCTAATAGAATTTGATTGCCATTACAATATCTAGATTTCAAACTAAGCTATATCTTGTTTAACTTAATTCAGGGTATTTTCTTGCTCTGTATTACTGATTTTTCTGCTGTAGGTCCTTTAATGAGAAAGATAGCATTTGTATACTGCACTAAAGCAATTGGCTGAATGCTGATTTAGATTTGCCTAGTAACTTTTGGATATTAACCTATAAGTGCAGATATAGTCTATACAATCGGTGCTGTTGAATGAATAACTATTGTATGACATGATGTCTCCCTGTCATCAAGAGCTTTACATGCTGTGCATGCAAATATGAAGTTAACCTGATGTAAGGCTTCAAATCGCTTCCTGCAGAAGGGAGGAATATTTTTTAAAAAAGATTTAACATTAAATGGAAAATATGCTCTAAGAATTTTAATTTTTGAGTAATAATTCATAATAGAATGTCCCCAATGTGACCATAGTGTAGCATTGAAATGCAGGTTATTGCCAAGACGAAAGGAAGAAAAATGTTATTGACTCCTCTCAGTGGTGTATTCACATCTCTCTGTTGCTGGTTTCTGTACAATAGCACTGAATCACCTGTTGTGTACTACGTGACACTTCAGCTGTGGTGCTGTGCTGTCACTGCCACAGAAAGGCATAATAAAAATCTGTGAATGTGTTTTGGGTAATTTCAGTGTAAACTTCTGTTGAAATACTTGCTATATGCCAAACTCTTCCTTGTCCTACCTCCTATGAGCCCAAAGCATGTGTGAGCATGTGCTTTATTTACATTGGAGAACACCTTTGAGAACACCTTTCACTTAAGTGAAAGGATCTGAGGAAAAAACAATGTAGTAATTATGTGGCGAAGTAGTGAGGATTGATCAATCTACTGTATCTGAAACTGGAGATAGTTTTCATGTAATTGCTCAGTATGGATTGTTCCCTCCGAACTGATGTGTGTTTTCTTTCTCAGGGTTGTGTACTCTTCTGTGGAGAAGTGTGGGAAGAGCCATGCTTATTTTTTCCTTTTGGTCCTATCTCTTGGGACTGCACTAAAAGTGCCGCGATACCCAGAGGAAGGAGAAGGGAAAGCAGACTCCCTGTCCTCACTTCCTCCTTTCCCTTCCCTCCTCATAGTGCCAAAAATAACAGGGGTAGGCACAACTTTAACCTGTTCCACCTCTGCTTCCTGCTTTTATTTAAGAACAAATGCAGGGACATTACATTAGTTTCTCATTCTGGAGATATTAGTGTGCTCTGTGAGAGCTAGTTTTTTTAATAGGGAGAGACTTTTTTCAAAACAGGATATAAAAGGGAAGGAGTTACTTTTGCCTAGGACTCTGACAACTACAATTTCTTCTCCAACAGTCCAGCTTTCTTCCTGTCCTTCAGCCTACTAGTCTTTTTCCTTTAAGAATGGAGATTTAGTGTTCCTCAGAATCATTATAAGGTACAAGAACAAGCTAGCGTCTGTTACCTAGAGGTATTCATTAACTGCTTTATAACTATTTGCATGTTTCTGCATACATTTAGTCAATAATACTTTCAATACTTGAAATGATTTTAATATGTTATTTCATCCATCTTTCTGTGCTTAGTAAAGAAACAAAAACCAAGCCATGATAATATTTCCTTGGGGGTAATATTATGTCATTGTCAGAGTCCAGCACTCTCTGAGCAGGTTCTTTCAGATATTCCACGCACGGGGAGTGTAATGTTTAACATTAAAGCTTACTTGAGAGAGTTTGTTACGTGGGATTTTTGATTTAGCAGAGAGCTAAAGCAATGTACTGAAATCACAATACAAGTGTATAAACTTAGCAAAATATAGCAATTGCAATATACAGTTCAATCACAATACCAGTGTGAATTCCATTACCAGTCTCTATAATATGCTCACTGTCACGATGCTGGGTGTCCCCAATCTCACTGGGAAGGAATGCGTGGCTTGAAGCCAGCTCAAGCTCTCTTTGAAATTCCTTTGGTGGTAGTTCGAGTTTTATACTCTGTTGGGCTGAACCACACATACACCTCCCCCATGTTGGTCTGGCTATCTTGAGGAAGAAACATTTACACCTGGTCCAATTAACGGATATGGCTGCTCATGTAAAACAAAGGTCACCCTCCAGTCCCCGTTGTGATAAAGTCAGTTCTCTGTGCAAAAGCTATGGTTAACGAGCTGGATCCTACACTATCCCTGAACTTCATGGAGCACCTTGCCCTCTGAGCCTTCTCCCATTGTAGGGGTTATTGGTCGGTCACAGTCATAGGGCTGTCATGTAGAAGATTAGTAGTAGGGCTGAAGATTAAAATGGGAGTCTAGCAACATCAGTACTGTGTGTAGTTTAGCTTTCAGCGCATGTGTTACCTTAATTGGAATGTGATGAGTTGGGTAACTGAATTTTAAAGTCTTGTTGTTTCTTTCTTTCAGATACATGTCAAATTCCAGGAGGAAACTCTGCTAACGTTACTTGCAGTGCCAGCACAAAGTCTACACTTTCCAACTACCTGTATGTCTTTATTCTGGCCCAGCTGCTGCTGGGAGTTGGAGGAACCCCACTATACACTTTGGGGACAGCTTTTATCGATGACAGTGTCCCAAAACACAAGTCTTCCCTTTATATAGGTAAATTCTTTTAAAACTGGCTATGATGTATTGGCTGTATTGATCATGTACTACAACATCTTACAAATGCTTTTATGGAGTGAGTTCTAAATTAATCTTTCTTCATTGCTCGCTTGTGTGCGTAAAGTGGTTCAGTAATACCTAACTTGCACAGAACCTGACAGTCTGCTCTAAGTGTCCAGTCTTTTCAATAGCTATTTGACTGAGCACAAAAAGGACAGTTTGTACACCTGATTTACATGCTGTTTCTTTGTGTCAGTAACTGAACATGAACAACTAATTGGTCAGTGTAGCCTGCCTGTAGATGACAGAATAGCAAAATTTGTTTTCTGTTGTCACAGGTGTTGAAAATGACTGTGTATCAGCTCAGTAGCCACACCTTACTGTATCTTTTAATTATTTTATATAGTTCCCTTCTAATGGTATGTTGTTCCCTCAGTGCAGGGGCACTCCTGTGTATCACATGATCTATGCAGTTCTCTAGTCATATATAAATTTGGCACTTAAGGAGGAAGTATTGGAAGTGTATTTCCTTAAATGAAGGTTAAGGGATTGCATAGAAACATGGAGAATAAGTTTGTATTTTATTGTGGGCTGCTAGAAAGCTATAGAATATTAATTCTTGTGGTCTTAATCTTTTCAGTCAGCACTCTGAGCTATGTGCACTTTTGCTGCCTAATTTAATGCAGTCTAAGTACCTTCTATGGTTATGAAGCTATTCAGCACTTCACTATTCAGCCTGTGCTGATAAAATTGTTAATTGCACTGATAACTTGCAGTAGGCAACTAAAGCATCTTGGATTCCTGGATTCTTTTAATTTCTTTTTAAGTCACTATTTTAATCTAATTAAGGTCAGTTCTGTCCCTACTTGCGTGCAATTCTTGTGTAAGAGTTCCAGGCAAGGCACTTTATTCAATGCCAATAGATACAGCATGAGCAACTGGTTTATCTCAAATAACAAAGACTGCTTTTATTTTTGCTGTTTCTTTATCTGGAGAGGAGTTTCTTGAACTTCTTCTGAGGCTAGTGAAATATATAGAGGAGACCTAGGGCCACCTGCATAATTAAGGGTATCAAGCAACAGCCTGCAAACTCAGGAAGATAGTGTTGACTTAAAACATGACTGACCAATACAAAGAACTACAATGCTAGTACAGTCTTCAGGCTACTGCCAAATTTAGAACAGTGTGTTACTTCTTCCTGATGTAACAAAAATAGAAGGGAATTATGCTGAAAGATTAGGTAGCTACATTAAGCCTATAACTTTTCTCTAGTCTTCATGCAACGTACTGAGAAACTAAAATAAGTTGTGTTGCCTTCCTGCCTGATGGAAGATGACCTGTGCAAGACAGCAGAAGAAACAGAGGTTTTTGCTAATATCTGCAAATAACTTAGAATATATGCTTGCAACTCATAAGTCAGTAGGCCCTTTCTCTTCTGAAGGGAACTGTCTTACTCTTACTGAACTGAAGCATCTAAATCTAAAGCCAGTGAACAGCTAAGCAGTTCCAAAGGGTGATATAAATTGAGTGGTCTGTAGGAGGGCATAAGTGCCTTCTAAGCTAAGTTTGAAGTTCTGTAAGATGAACGTGAACTTATCTCTGAGTGGTCCTATGAATTTGTTAGCATTTCCAAAATAGAGGAGAGCCTGGGCTACTGTCAACTCAGTATTTATTTTCATTTACTGGTACTTTGGTATTCTTTTCTGTTTTCTTCTTGCTGATTAAAGAGATTGAAATGTTGAATATTTAGGAAACAGGCATGTTGGAAATAAATCGGAAATTTAGATTCTTCAGCCCAGAGAGGATTGTAGAGTATCAGCAGTGAGGATGCCTGTCTCATTAGTTACTTAGCTCTAGTTACTATTAGTTGCCAGCCTTTATCTGCAGAGACACCGCTCTTGCTAATAGTGCTAATGTACTAATGTACCACAAACATCTGGCTGATAGGCCAGAGTGACTCTTGTGGAATTAAGAAAACTTTTTACTGAGGTGAAAGATAGTGGATGGAGCAAAGAGGGCTTTTTCATAGGACTTGGCTGCATCTGCCACTTGGTCTTCAACGCTTTTAACAGCGGTTAGGAGCCCTGGCTCTGTGTTAAGGCTTGTACCAGTTAAATTGAGGTATCTGATTCAGGTTTCTACAAAACTTCAAGTGGCAGATATTACTGCTGTCAACAGTTTTGACAAAACCTTAGCTTCTGGTCTTGACAGATCTAAAAATCAACTTAAAACTCAAAATAAATCTTTAGGTTCTTGAAGATTACGTTCATGTACTGTTGACAACTGATGCTCTTCAGAAACTTTTCACAAGGTAGCTTGTGATTGTAGGCCCAAGATGCATGCTAAAGGCAAACAAATAATGCATAAAGATGCTGTCAGAGGTTTTTTATTGTGTTGAGCCTCTGAGAAAAGGCAGGTTTAATGAGCTGCCAATTTTCAAGTAAATTGGCACAAGTGCATATTTTTGTCTTCTGCACACTGTAGGCTAAATAATGACACTGAAAGAACAGGCTGAATTACAGAAACCATTTGATGTTAAGTTTATTTACAAATTCATTGAAATAAAGCTTTGAAGGTGTATGGCAAAGCTTGATATATATATTTTCCCTTCTAGGAATTGGCTATGCCATGTCACTGCTGGGTCCTGCTGTTGGTTATGTCTTAGGAGGGCAGCTACTTAATATTTATATTGATATCCAGATTCCAGAAAGGCAAGACAACATTTAGTCTTTTGCTTTCTATTTTCTTTTTTGAATAATCATTATTAAATTCTTAAGCTTTTCTCCATGATAGCATTTGCTTGGAAAATACTGATTTTTTTTTTTTAAACTTGTAAAGCAACTTGTTAAGTTAAACAAGGGCTTCTAGCTAGTAAGATGTAGTGAATAGCCACTCCCTTTAAAGTTCTGTTGTGCAAATAGTTAGTTTTAGCTTTTGGAGATATTATTTTAAAGCTGATAAACAAAAATATCTTTTGGTTAATCACTCCTTTAGCTGTTTTAATTGTCTATTGATATCATGTGTGAAAGGTTTTGTTGAGGTAGGATGTAAGCAGTAGGATATCACTTTCCTGCTGGGGCAGTTTGCTAGAAGATCTGTCAGCTGAGTAACAGTCCACTCTTCAAAATGATATTATGAATTGTAACAGTATTTAAACCTTCGGCTTGATTATACGCTTGTTCATTTCCTATATTTTAGTGACTTCAGATCAGTGCAATAGCATTCTTCTGAGGTACTATATTTGCTTTCATATAACTCATTGATTATGAAGATTCTTTTTAAAAACAGCTTTGTGTTTTAATGCTACAGTATTCTGAATTCAAGGCCAAAGAGTAGCCTTCAAATCAGACTGAATGTGATTAGTAAAGGATGAAAGCTGTATTTGGTAGAGTGTAATAGATCTGATCAGTATACTTGATCCTATTCAAGCAAAGAAACAAACCAATATAGTACATGCAGAAAACGAGGAGAAGAAAATAACAGTATCCCAAGGCTTTTGGGCACATCTAGTGTAACAGAACTTACTGATGTCTGAAGTTGCTGATTTTTTGAGTTCGTAACTGCTAAACCTAATCTTCCAAAACATGTTTTTACAAGGATGGATCAAGATGACCCACGTTGGCTTGGAGCATGGTGGATAGCATTTCTTGCATGCTTTTTTGCAATTTGGCTTCTGATAATACCTTTTTCATGCTTTCCAAAACACCTGCCAGGTAAATATTTAATAATACTAGATTACTTTGGAAGGGATACTTGTTTATATGTATGGGTTATAGAATGTTGGACTTCGAATGATTCTTCTCTGGTTCTGTTCCTCATTTGGTTATGTTTTGGGTTAAAACATGATCATAAGTACCTTGTTTCTAATATGCAGCCTTTAGAACAATTGGGAAATAAGGCAGAGGGAAAGTCTTGAAAGAAAGATGTTGGGTAGGACTGGAAACAGGTAGAGCATAGAAACTAATGGTCAACATTTTTGAAAGATGCTTGCAGCTAAGCTCCCACGGCTGTATTTAAAACTAAGTTACCCATCAAGAATCCTAATGGCAATTCCTAGATCCTCGACTTAAATCTCAGATTGTTGTCTTTGACCCCATTGCCTTTATGGGTGGAATAATCAAGTATGAATCGCGGTGTCCTAGAGCAATCTTCCAAAGAATACTTTAAATATACTTTTGGCCTTTTTGTTCAGGCAGCTGCTATCTAGGAGTATCCTCAGAAGAGCATTTAAAGAAACCTATGCTGCTTGTCTGGAAGGAGAAATGATGGAGGACAGGGAGCAATGAAATAAGAAACTAGAAAGAGTGGGAGGGCTATAAAAATACTGAATGGGCTTCAGGTTAGTCTGAAATTCTTAGGTGTTTCTAATAGCATCTTCTCTTCTCACAGCCAAAGATTTCAAAGGGAAGCATGATGCTTTCAGCCAAACTTTTCTTTCCACACGAGTAAATTATTGATCTGTATCAAGAAGACATTCAAGAATTGCAATGCTTGAGCTGGGCTTCCCAAGGAAGAGAAACCTTTATTGTGATATTTATCAATATTTAAGATGTTTGAATACATTGAACAGTGTTCTTATTGTCCAAAAATATTTCCTTTTGTAGGCACAGCAAAAATACAAGCTGAAAAAATCTCTGAGACCCATAATGATGGAAGTGAGGCACTTGTTGAAATCAAGAACATTGGAAAAAGTTTTAAAGACTTTCCTATGGCGCTCATGGTAAGAAAATCTGGAATTTACTGTGCATAACCAATTTATTCTGAGAATCTTGAGATTTGAGTTTTACATGAGTATTTAGAAAGGTAATTGCTTTTCTTGTCATGCATGACAAGTTTTCAGTACTGCTGAGAATCTTTAACGTGTGCTACTTCATTCAGTTGATGCTTAAGACTTTTAAAGCAAGAAAAGCATGTTAATGAAGTTCATCATGAAAGGGTCTGCTTTCGAATATAGTGACTTCTAGTTTACATGATTTTACAATGAGATAATTTCCTGAGTGTTACACTAATTTTTTCCTCATAGATACTGTTGAAGAATCCTGTGCTCATGAGTCTAATAATAGCAAGTTCTTCAGAAGCTTTAGTTGCCACAGGCTTTGCCACATTTTTACCAAAGTTTATAGAAAATCAGTTTGGACAGACATCAAGTTTTTCGGCAACTCTAGGAGGTAATGTGGTTTTTAATTACATTGTACTGAACACCTTATTAATATAGCAGAGTGAATATTGGCTATCTTGCACTTCTTGTCTGAGACACCTTTGTGGAGGTATTTATATGAAAACTACAGAAATGCAGTTTCTTTTTAAGCAGTTCTCATCTGTCCGAAGAAAACCCTGATGCATGAAGGGTGCAAATCTACCAGTTGTCTGTAGGTTCAATAGACTAGGTACTAACATTCAGAGCAAAATGAGAATTCTGTGGGCTGCTGAAACCATAGTTTGTACCCTTCTTGTTTTGGGTGAGTAGCATTTAATTTTCCTTAATTAAAATCAGCTGAAGGAGAACTAAGCCTTCATTTCTACTAAAGGAAATGAGATGAAGAGCAGCTGAAGAAAAAAGCTCTGCTTACTACAAGTAAGAGGTTGAGCTGACCTTTTCCTTCAATCCTACTGTAGCATTACAGTGGGTTAACATCTAATAAAATAACTGCCTAACTGGGATATGTTCTGAAATGATTGTGTAACTGCTTTTGTAGTTGATGCGTTGTCATTTACTATGTGTACCTATCAGATAATAGGAATAGGTGGAACGAGGAAAGGTTATGGGAAGCGGAGTATTGGAAAACCAATATGAATCTAATGGAGAAGCTGCACTAGGTGGGAACACATGATGACTTGACACAATTTCTCTTGAAGAACAGCAGCCAGATAAAGGTGGATAGGCCAACAGATGCTTGCAAGATGGCAGACTTAGCACTTTGAAACATGTCTTGCCAAGTTACTTCTCAGCTCTATAGTGCTGCAGTGTAAGCATATACTAATTGAAGTGCTCTTGCTGTGACAAAAATGTGCTTGGGACTTTCTGAATAACTTATTCCCCTGGGTAATACTAGAAAATTAGTACTACTGCTACTCAGACATCATTGTCTTTTTTAAAAAAAAAAAAAAGCATCAACCTGCAAGTTCTGTATAAAAACACATTGAAATACATGGTCAGGTTTTTAAACAGTAATCTACAATAAAGTAGAAAATTCTGTTCCTTCTGTCCTGCCCATTCCAGCTTGTCTTAATTTCTTTAATAGGAATTGGAAATATTGGCGGTGTTAATCAAATGCGCAACTTTCAGGAGGAAATGCCTACAATAATGTTGAAAGATGGCTGACTGTGCCTGACCTAATGTTGAACTAGCTACTCTGAGTATTTTCAAAGGCAATGTTAACTGTCTAAATCACCCTTTACTACAGGGTTCTGTGGTCTGTTACTCCACCAGTTCTGCCACCGTACCTCAACTATCTCTAAAACTAGTTGTCTCAGTGCAAGTTAAACTGATCACTTCTAGGTTGTATTGTGGATTAGCCATAGAAAAATACTCAGTTACTCACCAATATCTTCATGACTTATTCTCTTTGCACTGTTATGGACAACATAAATGATGGTAAAACTGGCCCATCTAGCTCAGCAACTTAAACTAATCTTCTGTAGATGCTTCATTGTATCTTGTGCTATATAATTGTACAACAGGGATTATGTTGCCTTATAGGAAGCTTGCAGCATAAGTGTATAATAAAGGACAGACCTGTGAAAATATTGGGAAGCACTGAGATAGCACTTTGAAGCTTCATAAAACAGCCTACAGGTGTTCAGAGATTTTTGCCCAGTATAGCAGTGTACTTCTAAGCAATTTGGATTCACTGCTTTGAAGTTTAGTTTTGTACAACTGTAAGTCAAGCTGTTAAGCTGTACTTCTGAAGAGGCTAAAGATAATGTAAGGGTAGAAGAAATCACTTTCAGTGAAATAATTACTCATGGTGACAGATTCAGGTGGGATGGTTTTAAAATGACATCGCAGGTATTGCATCTTAAGAAACAGGAAACTGCTGTGATTTGCATAACATGAAATTGCACTCTAAATTGCTTCACTAATTGTCTTGCATTTTTGTGTAATTGCTGGTGTCTTGTTTTCCTCTAGGACTTGTATTAATTCCAGCAGCAGCACTAGGCCAAATCATAAGTGGCTTCTTGGTTTCCAAGTGCAAAATGGATTGCAAAAGCATAATCAAGTTCATGATAGGCACTTGTTCAGTGGCACTACTATTAAACACAGTATTTTTATTTGCTAAATGTGGGAATGAACCATTCGCAGGTGTCTCTGAAACATATAATGGGTAAATATATTTTAATGCACTCTTGGGCTCGGTGTTAATGTTTAAAATACATAAGCTACTTCACAAAATACAAACTCTTTAAAAACTCATATCACTTTACCTTGATGTATGAAAATTCAACTATTTTATGCAACTCAACCTTGTTCTTTGACTCTTCATTATAGCAAACTACATATAGTTACATTTTTATTAGTCTAAAATGTTCTGAACAGGCTGATACTGCTTAACAACAAAAAACTTCTGTAACCTTTCTAGGTGTGATAGCTGTGGTATTGACTAGGGTTAATTTATGTATATAAGAATAGTGCATATTTCATGTTGTGTTAAAATAACCAAAGCCTGACAAACTGGGCAGTTTATTCCTGGGGAGGAATATGCCATCCACAACAATGTCATGAGAACACTGAGATACACTGCA